CGTGGCACCGACACTTGCTTGGCGTTACTTGAGTTTGTTTAAGAATTTTTCTTGCATAAAACGACGGGGACAGTTTTAAGGACAAGCGGGCTTACCAGATTTTTGTGTTTTTTAAAGGACATAAAAAGTGTTGAACCAAAACAAGAAAATGATTTTAAAAATTGCTCATCGGCCTAAAAAATGCCCATTTCTTTGATGTAATTATTTTGACGAGCGCCTGATTTCATCATGTTGCCTCACAATTTACGAAAAAGAATGCTTCTCTTCGACCATTCTTACTTTGTTTTGTTCTGAGGATGAATATCATCATCATCATCATCATCCAGTGTCAGATCTGCAACAGACATCGGCGATCACGGTTCTCCATTCATTCCTTTGCTCGGATGCTTTTAAAAAAGCTACGTTTCCCTGATCTTTCCCCGTTACCTATTTGTTAAGGTTCCTTTGGCAGGTTGCTCTGGGCCTACCCCTGCCTTGTTTGCCATCAGTTTTGCCAGTGAGAGCTAGATGTTCAAGACCCTTATTTCTATTCAGGTGTCTCAAAAACTGAATTTGTTGTTTCCTTATTGTTTTTAGCAGTGAGCGTCCAACGTGGGCGTTATCAAGTACTACCCGATTTGATTTCTTTTCCTTCAACGATATTCTCAGCAGTCTCCTAAGAAACCACATAATTATAGAATGAATATAGAAAGCTAAACCTGTCGTCTTACCGTCTCCATTGTGATCTAAAACAACAGGATGCCTAAAAACACTGAAAACACACCCCCCAAAAAAATTAAAAAATAATAATAATAAAAACGCACTGTTTTACTTTTTTAAACGAATCCAAAACCTGACACGGCAGCTGATGATGGATGCAGCACCAAAATCACTGCCAATGGCATTGGTGTCTACCTAAAAAAACTGTCTATAAAGATGAGAATTCCAATCTTTATTGAACAAGATAGTTCCATATAATAATCTCTCGTACAGCAGATTGCAGATTTCGCATCCACTGAGATAAGATAGTTTGGATCTACGTGTAAATAAATTATGGGACAAGAGTTCACAAACTTTATCTCTGGTGTTTCGGAGAACAGATTTCTCAACATCTGTGGTAATATTATGATTTGATAGATCTATATATAGATATTTCTTCAGAGGCAGTTGACAAAGTATCGAAGAATCATACTTTTACGTAACGTATTTTTACAATAACTGTTTACTTGACACCATTGTAGGTCAAAATAAATAGGAATGATTTCTTTACTTCGTGCAAACTTTCGGAACCTTACTGTAAAGATGACTCTACTAGGGAGCGGAACAGAGGGTGCCCACCTCGTGGCTCGAAAGAGCTGAGGAATGTAGGACTAACATGATCTAAACTATTAACTTCTAACCAGCTGTTGCAAACATCTCCAGTTAGGGCTATGGCAACCCTTAGATGTG